ACCTCCGCGGCCATCTAGACAAGAAGAAGAAACACCATGCTAAACTAGAAGTGCGGGCTAATTTCTTTTCCCACCGGTTCATTGAAGATTGGAACAAACTACCTTCTTCGGTTGTTCTTGCTTAAAGCGTGGACCCATTTAAGAGAAGATTTGCTAAAACTTTACCTGGTGGTCCTACATGCAGTAGACACAGAAGATTGATATAATGCTCGTATATGCCTCTGAGACATAGGCATGATCCGACAGACTCTATCTGTAAAGTGGGTTGTCAGAGGCTCTACCGATCGCCATTTTGTATACTGAATTATACACATTAGTTGATCGTTTGTTTATCCTGGACTGTAGATTGAATTCTAGATCATCCCTTAGTCGGAAAACATAGTTTTCCACAGTTCGAATGTATATTTTGTAAATAAAATTTGAAAGTTACCGGTAGACAATATCCCAGATGGCCCTCATAATGTAAGCTGCCTATTACATATTTCCAGTCCATAATACATTGTAAGCATTTCAATGTTTTAGAATCAAAGCAATACAAAAATTTTAATCAGTCGTCTCTGGTCAGTACACATGTAAAAGGAAGGTAGAGCCATTTATTTTTTCGAGGATGGCTGTAGTAAGCCATATTGTGCGGATCATACTTTTAAAATCATAAATGGTGTTGGCAGTAACCACTTTGCTTAGTAGCGCGTTTTAAGGTCGTACCACTCGTTGACTGACAAAAAACTATTGGAAATTCCATCAGGTTCTGTCGCTCTTGACCTTGAAAGAATGAGCCCGCAGGTAAGTTACGCAAAGAAACTCGAGGTGATCCTCAGGTGTCGGTGGGACCATAGTCCCGGATACTCCCAAATTTCCAGAATAGGCAACCTTAGAAATGTTTGTAAGACAGGGAAAATATTTCAAACTTCTTTCAATCTGTGCCGGTACAGTAACTTATTAATACTTTCGACCATCCTTATCGCAGTCTGTTGCACCTGTTCCATAAGGTCAACTACCTTATCCATCCGCGATGTTCAAATGTGAATACAAAAGAAGCCAAAGCTTTAACCGATGATCTGAAGAGCAATATGTACAAAACACGGTTGATGCAATGCAGTGTACTAGTTCCTATCGTC